CGGCCCCCCCCCCCCGGACGAGGGGGGGGGCCCCCCCCCGGTGGCGGGCAGCGTCTGTGAGCCCCGTCTACACCCGTCGCGCGCGAGTCGCTCGGCGGCCCGCAGGGCGCCCCTCGGCGGCGAGGGCGTCAAGGTCTTTGACGTTGCGTGGGATGCCACGTGGGGCATCGTCAGCGGCGGCGAGGACAAGAAGGTCCAGATCAACAGGGGGCGGGACTTGCTGTCGCAGTAAATAGATCAATCAGGTTTGCGGTCAAAGGCGAAAGCGGACGGGTGCGATCAGGGGAGAGCGAATGAGGGAGGGAACAAGAGAAAAGTGTCAAAAATTGGATGGCGCCCCCCCTTGTTGATAGACTTGCAGAGGAATATACCCCCAGTCATGCATGCATCTTCCTTGCTGCTCGGCTCGGCTCTGTCTACCTACTTGGCCGTCAAGGTCAGGTTAGGTCGTCACATGTACTTCATCCGTCGCAGGCCTTAAACTCCATCCCACAACAAGACCGCCCCTCCGCCCCTCCGCCGCTCGACCCCGAACGTTCCCCCTACGTCTGCCACGTGTACTCGCTCAGCGCCAGAATCTCTCCCCATCTGCGCTTGGCTGCGCGCGACGCCCTCTCTGGGTTGCGAGCTGCTCGCTGAAGCACAGCTCCATGAGCGCCTTGAGCTCGTCATACGAGAATCGGAGCCTCCTCTCCTCCTCATCCGGCTCGCCGTCGGCCTCGGCTCGCCGGCCTCCTTGTCCGCTTTGGCCTTGGCCACGACCCCGTCGGGACCCTTCTCAAAGAGAGCAAAGTACTCGGCGGCGCGTCGCAGGTCGACTCCTTCCTCGACATTCTTGAGGTTCTGCTGCAGCACGAGAATGTTAAGCTGCATGCGACCGCAGCCGCGCCCGTTCATCGGGGACGCGAGCGGGGCGTTGCCGACGAGGTAGGCGTCGATGAGACGGCCGAGACCGGTGCGGACGAAGCGCGACTCGGGGGTGCGGAGGTGACGCGTGATCGTCTCGTCGTAGGTCATGACGTCGGCGTTGAGTTTAAGGACCTGCGGGTCGGGCTCGTTGACCTCCTGGTCGAGGAGATAGGGGGCTGACGTCGAGGGGGTGAGGGCCGTGTGGAGGGAGTAGATGATCTGGGCGCGCGCCTCGAGATGAAGAGTCAGGAGGGCCGTGTTGGCGAGCTCCTCGAAGGAGGAGACGATACCATCGAAGGCTCTGTGGGAAGATGATCAGCAAAAAGAAGGACATGGAGAAGGGATCGGCGCAGGGAGTCACTGACTGGACGGTATCCTGAGTCATCGGGAGGTACACAGGACAGTCCTCACTTGTGACCTTGTTCGTGTCGTTCATCAAGGTCCAGCGCTTGCCCGACTGGCGAGGCAGATTCGGCCGCGTCGAATCAATATCGTGTTGGGTGATGTGCCGCAGACCCGAGATCTTGACGGCCAGCCACTTCATGCTAGTATATAGGAGGCAGATGGATGATATCGTATCCTTGTCTTGCAAAATATCACTGAGCTCCGTCTTCTGATTATTTGTGTAGGCGATCAGCTGCCCGATTTCCTTATCCATCAGGGCAGTGTCTGTTGTCTCGGAGGCCCAGATGCCCTTGATCGTCTCATTGATCTGGCTGGGCTCGAGTGCGAGCTTGGCCGCGAGTCGCAGTGTTTGTGTGTCCGTGGCAGTCTCCTGCGCCTTGCTGACGAGGGATTTGAACCAGCCGAAGCACCGATCATAGTACCTCATCATTTGCCGAATGATTAGTGTGCTCAGGGCTTGATCGGGCGGGATGGTTGTGAGCATCTTGCAGAACGCCATGACAACAGTGAAGAAGGCTGTCGTGCCCTTGAAGACCGGCTTCCGCGCGACTTGCTTCCATTCTTGATCTTGCGTAAAAGAAGTCGTCTCGCTGAAGATGGTGTCGGCGAGTTTGCCCAATGTCTCATCCAGCTGCGGCTGGAACACGTTCACCAGGAAGTTATCCAGGAAAGATGTCAGGGCGCTCGAAGCCAAGTCCGAGCCAGGTGGGACAATAGTCCTCAAGCGCTGGAGGAAGACCAGGGTGGGTGGTAACAGCAGGCTCATGTTGAAAACGCTCGGCTCAACGAGCGATTTGTGGTTGCTAGAGCTGTTCTGTTTGCTCTCGTATCCGGCTGTTGTGCTCTTCCTCGAGTTGCCGCCATCAATGTTGTTGGAGCGACCAATCGCCTTCTTGTCTGCGCCTGGCTTTCGACTGTCGGTCAAGCCGGGGACGGCAGCTCGGATGATGCCTTCAAGAGCCTCATACTCGGTGACCATGTCGACCGACTTGGGATCCGCTTCAGCAAACTTGAACAGGTGCTCACGCGCGACATCCTTCTTGCCATTCATATTCGAGCCCAGTTTCGGTGACGAGCTGAACTGGTAAACGTCGGCATCCGTCGTGACATAGTTGTGTAGGAGCGATCGAATCTCGTTCTGATACAGGTTCCACAGCTCCTTGAAGCTGCCAAGCAGCGCGCTATTATTCCCGGCGCCCTCGCGGCGGATGAGCGCCTTGATTGACTCGTGAAATATGCGGTGTCCCTCGGCAATGGCCTCAAACTTGCCATACAAGGCCCATAACAAGTCGTAGATGACATCTGCCCGCATCTGGGTTTCTCGGTTCCCGTAAATGTGAAGACCTTCAGAGTTTATGGCGGCGCCCCGTAGTGAGCTCGGGTGTCGCTGGTCCACCTCGTTGATGGTCTCGTTGACAATGCCGAACAGCTCGACAGGCATCCTCTGTTTGAGAATGTCGACAGCCGTCTCCAACCGTCCGAGCTTGTTCAAGGACTCGACGAGAAGCCCAACATAGGTGAATGTGTCAGCCTCGGGGTTCTTGGCTGGGTCCTCCGTCGCCGGCCGCTCGAGATCCATGCCCTCCAGACATGAGTGGAAGAGCGGAATAGCCGTCGCATCGGTGTAGGCATCATTAAAGGCGCCTTGTGTCTTGGCGAGGCTCTGCCACCGCTCCTGGCAATAGGGTGATTTGAGATAAAGATGCTCGTGCAGCTCTTCGACCAGGATATCCATCAATGCCGAGTCTTGGTTTGCCAGATAGTTCCTGAGGTCGCTCAGGGCGCCGATATTGTCCAGCTCGGGCTTCCGCAGCTTGCGCAGCGCGCTCTGCAGAATATCGACGGCGGACAGGAACCTCTTCTCGGAGATGCGGGCCTCGAGCTGGTCGGGGACGAGGCGGAGCTCCTCGAGCTCGTTGAGGCTGGTCAACAGCTCGTCGTAGGCCTGCGACGTGGCGGACAATTTCTTGAGCTCGGGATCGGTGGAGCAGAGGCTGACCTTGGACGAGGCCAGCGACTCCTTCAGGGCGCGCACCCTCTTTTGCGAGGCCTGTATGCTGCCCTGGATCTTGTGAAACGTGCCGATGGAACTGTTGAAGCCCTGGTGGTGCTCGTGGACGATGCCCTTGAGCGAGCTCTGGAGATAGTCGTGGGTTTCCTGGAAGTTGCGGTATTCGTGGGCGCGGCCGACGGAGCTCGTGTCGAGCAGTTGCAGGGCGAGCTGGACGGGGATGCAGTCGGTCTGGCACATGGAGGGCCACTCGCGCTTGATGAGCTCGAGGACTTGGGCGATCTGGCGCTCGGCGTTCGTCTCGGGCTGCATGCGCTCCTGGCGAACAGGCGGCGGGACGTTTCGAGAGGCGGCCTGCGGGGGCGGCGTCCTGTAGGCCATAGTCTGCTGGGACGGCGAGCCGTAGCGGCCGCTGTTCGAGTAGCCGTCGCCGTAGGGGTCGTAGTCGCCCTGCTGGTCCTCCTGCGGTGGCGCTCCGAAGTTGCCATAGCCGTTGCCATTGCGGTAGGGGCTCCCATACCGGTTCGACATGGCGGGAGACGGTGGAGCGAATGCGCTACGTGGATGGTGGCGGCTGGCGCATCATCGGATGCAAGAGGGCAGTAGGGTGTGCTCCTCGGCGGTTGGCGGGATAGGTGTGTCGGACGATCAATCGGATCGAGGGGGCTGCGAGTCGAGCGTCGTGAAGGGGTCGTGAGAAGGCGTAAGGCGAAGGAGTGTAGGTACTTAGGTAGGTTGGAAGGTAGGCTGAGCAGTTCAATTCACTCGAGCTCCCATGTTCAGGTACCACAGGGCCCCGTCCTAGGTGGGTTATTCAGTGGGAAGTGGGAAAGTGCAGGCCAGCCACCCCCGGACATGTTTCAGCGCAAATGGCCAGTGGCCGCATTCTTGGTTTCATCGTCCCCTGTGGCTGTGCTCCTACAGTACCTGCCGAGCTACCTACCTACCTACCTACCTACCTACCTACCTACCTACCTACCTACCTAGGTACATACAAGGTACGCATGTGGTGGGGCATCTACGATGCTCATCGTCAATTCCGTTGACGCCCACAAGTGACTGACCTAGTTCTCTGTATGCCGGAGAAGGAGGGCAATGGCTGCCAATAGAGTAGAAACGTGGTAGGTGCAGAGTATATGCAATCTGCATAATACAAGAGGAAAACGCACAGCTGGAGTCAGTCGTCGCGATAAACAGGTCCCAGGTACCAAAGTACCCCACACGTAGGTACCTTACTCCAGTGAGCTCCCTGATGCGTTCCCAACAGTCAGTGTCTTCACGCCTTACCTAAGATGCCTCGACTGGACACTCAGATGAACTTCGACGGGTACACAACGTGCTGCCTTGTGCTGTCTGCACTACCTACACAACTACGGGCGTTGAATCGTCTGTGAGGCGCAACTTTGACAATGGCGACCAGCTTCTCTATACAACCTATTGGCCGCTTCTACAGCGCCAGCCAACCTGTTAAGCGACCAAAGGTCCGTCAATGTCCCAGGCGCATCGTACAGCCACTAATAAACATCAACCAGGAATTCGCCTGCTTCTCATACGACGACAATCATGAGTTCCATCTCGATGACTCGTCTATGCGCTACTATTACAATCCCACTATAGGCGCCGACTTGTCCAAGGGCTACGATACCTTTGTCAAAGCGGACGAGTCTGGCGATGAGCACCTCGTCAGTCTGCTCAAGACCATCCAGGCTCATGAACAGAAGTCGGGACAGAAGATTGATGCTCAGCTCGTCACATGGAGGGGCATGATGACCAAGGTACGCCCTCAAACTCCTGTGTCGTTCTTTTGGACGTTCTGTTTCTGACGAATCATCCATTAGATCATGAGCACGCCGTTTGACGACCGCGACGGGTGAGAGGACCGTCAAGGACGGGAGGGCGACGCAGCTGATGACCCACCAGGTTCGAGATGAACGCGACTCTGTACCAAGTGCGCCGGCTTTCCCAACCATCTCTCGTGTGGCTCTCCACTGACGTTCGTAGGATTGCATGTAGGAACAAGCCCCTTGGCCTGAGTGTGAGGACCGGCTCATGGCTTACACGGCGTAGCTTCATCGAGGAGAACAACGCCTACAAGAAAGCGTCTCAGCAGCAGCAGAACGCCCAACAACGACGCGGGCCCCATGCGCCAGAAGTCATGCAGTTCTGGGGTGCGCTCTTCTCCCTGTCCTTGGGGGAGGTTTATCCAAGCCGTTACTGACTCCTTTGCAGGCTACAAGTTTGAAACTCTAGCGACCCTCCCGAAGCCTTGGGGCGACACACCGCGCGAGTACATCGAGAACCGCGAGGACGAAGTCGTCAACAACAAGGCCCAGTACTGCTCCGTCGTCCGCACCGGCATCGGCGCGACGACCATCTGCATCGGCGGCGAGGTCGACGCCAGTAAGTCTTCCTTGCCTCTGGCTCCCCCTGCTATCCTTCCCCCCCCCGAACTATGCGACCAAACAATCCCGATCGTCTGATCAGGCTGACATGCCCACCCCTCCTGGCTCAGTCTGGGACTCCAAGCCCGCGCAGCCCGGCACCCCCATCAACTGGGTCGAACTGAAGACGTCCGTCGACATTCGCTCCGACCGCGACGCCGCCACCTTTGACCGCAAGCTCCTCAAGTTCTGGCTGCAGTCCTTCCTCCTCGGCGTCCCGCGCATCATCGTCGGCTTCCGCACCCACGCCGGCATCCTCGCGCGCGTCCAAGAGATCCAGACGGCCGAGATCCCCGACACGATTGCCCGGCGGCCGAATCCGCCGTGGAACGGGGACATGTGCGTCAACTTTGCGGGCGAGTTTCTCGACTGTAGGTCTCCTCCCCCGTTTGCCTGCCTCTTTTCCTGCTCTCGGCGATTTGGCCGTGCCGAGGCCATCCTCTATCGATCGCCCACTGACACAAACGGACAGGGCTCCGGCAGACGATCAATGACGATGGCGTGTGGAGGATACGCAGGAAGCCCGGGTCGCCGACCATCGAGGTCTTTCGCATCGAGGAGGCGGGCCACGGCGAGATCCTCACGGATGAGTTTATAAATTGGCGGATCAAGCTGTCCCTAGGACCTCCGCCAGCCGGAACCGAGTGATACCAAACGTTCAACCCCCCTTCCATCTTGAATGACCCCTTAAAGTTTAAAATTTCCACCTCACTAGAGACCCTCATCAACAGTAATTCATGATGCATGCGCACAGGACCAAAGCCGCAGGGAACGTCTCTCATTCCAACTACCTAATGCTATGCTAAAAAAAATCTCAATCGCGAACCGCGAGGTATCTGTTACACCATCCCCTGAACGCCAGCAGACCACATAGTCGTACAACCAAAGCAAAAACACACATCGAACCATGCAAAAAACTCATGGCTTCGTCAGAAAACCAGCACTCCCGCCTTCCCTCCGTATCGATGCGCTCGAGCAAAACCAAAAGAAAAACTCTCAAATACCACGACATCCAAAAATCGAATGTCCAAAAAAAGGGAGGGAAAGAAGAAGGAGAAACAAAATGGGACGGAATGTGATCCAATCGCACATCCGCAAATGCTTTTGTGTATGCTTCCGAAACCTGGTATGCTGTTCATGCCGTGGTCTTACACATTTCGAATACAGCCTCATCTCTCACGCACGCGCGAGAAAAGAGGCACCGTCAGGCACACCTCACACAGCCGGCCAGCGCAGGCGCAGACCGTCCGTCCAGCGGCTGTAGAGAACATCAGACAGCTGCTTGCAGTGCTCCATGCCGGGCCGGGCCTCACGTCCGGGATACTTGGCCTCCAGGGCGAACTTCTCCTTCTCGGGGTCGGCGGCAGCGAGCTCGCCGTTTCGTCGTCTGTGGCTTTTGAGGTGGGGGTTGTTGGGCGCCATGACCAGCTTGGCCGGGCTGCCACTGGGCGCCGGTGTCGCGCCTCGGTTGATGATGA